TGGGGTAAAAATGGGAGTTCATAACCCACTTGAATCTAATGTATGAAATATGATATGTCAAGAGCTTTGTAATGTTTTGAACAACTAATAAAAAAGATTAAAGGATAGAAAAAAAAAAGATTGATTCAACAATGCAAATAACCACCAGGCATTTGCTAGTTCATAAATAACAAGGAACTAAGAACAAAAGAAGCCAAGCACAAAGTTACAACAGGAATCCTGTAATGGTTTGCTAGGTCTGTAATAACAAAGTACCACAAACTGGCTGATAAGTAGAAATCACACAGTTTTGGAGGTTGAAATTCTAAAAGCAAAGTATTAACAGAGTTGGTTTCTTCTAAGGCCTTTCTCCTTGGTTTGCCCAGGGCTCTTGTCCCCTGTGATTTTACCTAGACCTCTGTATGTGTCTATGTCCTAATCTGCTCTCTTTTTAAAGACACGAGTTATATTGGAGTAGAGTGCATCCTAATGATCCCAGGTTAATTTAATTACTCTTTGAAAGGCCCTTTCAGCAAATGCACTGTCTGAGATACTGAGGAATTGTATCTAGAACTACAACATCTGAATTTCAGAGGAGACAAAATTCAACCTATACCAAAGTTACTAAAATATAAAGCAAAACTTCAGGAAGTGCTGCAGTTTTGATGTGGCTTGATTGTGCCCCGACAAACCTTCACATGTTGGAAGCTTGGTCCTTGGGCCTTTAAGAAGTAGCCCAGTGGCAGGTATTCAGATCTTTAGGGGATTAAGATGGTTCTCACAGGATCCTGAGTTAATTCTCACAGTAATGAAAGGTTATAAGAGTGAGCCTGGTTCCTCCGAATTTTCTGGCAACCTGTCAGTCCAAGGGATCTCTCCCTCTCCTACTAGTTCCCACCTTGACACTATCTGCCACGATTTTATGAAGTCAGGGAGGACCTCATCAGAGCTGGCACCATGTTTTTTAACACTTTCTGCCCCCACCTCTCCAAATTGTGAGCTACATAAATTTCTTTAAAAATTAACCAGCCCTGTGGCTGGGGTTGTAGCTCAGTGGTAGAGCACTTGCCTCACATGCATGAGGCCCTGGGTTCAATTCTCAGCACCACATAAAAATAAATAAATAAAAACAAAGATATTGTGTCCATCTACAACTTAAAAAAAAATTTTTTTTAAATTAACCAGCCTTGAATATTTTGTTATAACGACAGGAAATAGGTATTGTTAGTTTACTGATAACTAGAGAGAACAAAATTGAAGCTTGGGGCTCAACAAGAAGGAGCTCTGGTAAATATGTCAGGCATTTAGTTATATCCCCTGAAAGATCACACCTTAACAGATAGACCAAATTAGGAGATCTGCTTTCTCATACACTGAAATGCATCTTTGAACTAGCTCAGTGCAAGACGAGGTTTATATGAACTGCCTATCAGAAGCAACTATAAATTCTCTCCGAGGGAAGGAGCAGTGCTTATGCCCTCCAATTACCTTTACAATTTCTTCTATGCAATGTTTATTATACAATTAAAAATTATAGGGCTAGTATAGCTGAGTGGTGGAACACTTGTCTAGCATGCATGAGACCTTGGGTTGGATCCCCAACAGTATAAAAACATTTTTTTAAAAAAATCCAACTAAAAAGATTACAGAGTTTAACAGGAAATAGAAACAACTGAAACCAAGTGGAAAAGAAACAACAGAAATACTAGTGATTCAGAGTTATTATTCTAGTTGTACTGCACCTATTTTTAAAAAGGCTTTTTAAAGCTATCAGATGGATCTGCAAGTAAATAAACCACCTGATGAAACAAAGCTCAACAATTATTAAAGAAAGGAGAAAGATAAAGATGCTCTAAAATGTAAAACACTCAATGATCCACAACTAACACTGAATTACTGGGCATGCCAAGATGCAGGAAAATGTGACCCATTAACAAAAGAAAAATGGGCTAAAAATACAGATTCGGGAATTACAGAGATGATGGAGCTAGCTCATGAGGGCACTGTACATAGCTACTGTTACTATGTTCAAGTATTTACAGAAAATCACACATCTAGTGAGAAAATAAAATACATGAGAACAAGAGGCAGCTTCAAGTATAAGAGCAAATTGAGCATATTATAGATAAATGATTGAAGACTGGTGATTAAAGTGAATATCTCAAACCTGTTCAGAGGAAGGAAAATGATACACAATGAACAGAGGAACAAAATCAGAGTAACTGAAGACTTCTAATCGTAAATTATGCAAGCTAGAAGACAATCAAACATCATTAAACTGCTAAAAGAAAAAAAAAAGCTGTCAATCTCCAGTAAAAATAATCTTCAAAACAAATGTAAGCTGGGCACCAGCAACTTGGGAGGCTGAGGCAGAAGAATTTCATGGTCAACACAAATCTGGGCTATGCCAAGGGACTCTGTCTCAAAAAATAAAAAGGGTTGGGGATATAGTTCAGTGGTAGAGTGTCCCTGGGTTCAATACCCAGTATCACAAAAAATAAAATAAAGGTGAAGTGAACATACTTAAAGGTAAACACATGTTGAGAGGATTTGTCTTGGGAGATCTGTATTAAATGAATGTTGATGTTTTTCAACAGAAAAAAAAAATAATACCCACATGAAAACTTGGATCTACATAAAAGAATCAAGAGAAGCATAAATGGTAAAGATAAATATATAACTCTTTTCTTTTTTTAATTCTTCTTTAAAAGATAATTTTCCATTTGTAATATAATAATAATAATACATTGTGAAATGTATAATACATGTAAAACTAAAATATGTGATAATGATACCAAAAAATCGGGAATACTTGTCAAACAATAACACTGTTTCTTACATTATATGTGAAGTGACATAATATTATTTGAAAGGAAACTGTTATAAGTTAAATATGCATGTTGCAAACACTGGAGTAACCACTAAGAACGTAAATCAGATGTTTAATTAATAAGATAATAATGGAGATACAATAGAATTGGAAAAATTCTCAATCCAAAAAAAGGCAGCAAAAGAGAAAGTTCAATAGAATACAAAAAAAAAATAGAATACAAAAAAAAATTAAAAAGGAAGATACTAGATTTAAATGCATCATTTAAATATCGCATTCAATATAAATTGCTGAAATGTCCTAGGTTAACATGCAGATTTTCAGAGTTAGTGAAAACACCTTACACCTCAGTCATGATAAAAGAAATACAAATTTTCACTACAATGAAGGTGATTTTTAACTGACATTTAACAAGTAGACAAAGAAAAACACTATCTTGAGGTTTATGAAAACAACCGCTCTCTACATTGTGTGTAGGCAGGGAAACTGACCCAACCGTATGAAGATCTAAGGCTTGTCGGATTCCCCAGCATTGCGGAGAACACAGCTGGATTTAACACTGTCAAGCTGGAGGGGTCCTACTGCCCCTCCATTAATATTTCATGTTTCTGCATGTCAGAGGAAACCTGGAATGATAGATATCATTTGATGCTGCCGTTTTTCAAGACCAGAAAAGCAAAGATATAGGAAGTGAGAAGATGAAGAATAATAGGGAGCGACAAACTCAAGTAATAAATCATGGACCCAGGATAAGTACAAGGGGGAAAAAAAAGAGACAAAAACAAACTACTATATTGGGACAAAATGAATTGAAAAGAGACGAGAAGAACCGACAGCGTCAAAAAACCATCAACAGTTGGAGACCCAGAGAGCGGGCCCTCCTCTGGTATTTCCAGGTAACGGCACCAGTTCAAAGAGACCTACTTACAAATTTAAGAGCAATATGAGTGGTCTAAAATTCTGAATGTTTTTCAGTTTTCATGGGCAACAATTAGGAATATCGTGCTTATTTGTGACTGTCTCCAGAACCACAAATTGGACTCTGAAAGAATATGTAGCAGTGGCTTAAGAGCCCATATTTGGGTGATGATAAAATTTATAAGCTAAAGCTCCTTGGTAACATTTGGTAAAACTGTCGTTTGTGATAACTGGGAAAGCAGATCGTTGATTAAATCAGCTTTGAGCCCTCAGGAAGAAAAGTTTAGAAAAGAGAATGTGAGTAACACGTCTTAGTCGCTGGCTATATTTGGCTACTGGTGTGGTTAAGATGGGTCCCCTACTTCCTCAAAAAAGATAAGTTGACTTCCGCATTAGTCAGCTTTTTGTCACTGGGACCAAAATACTCAACAAGAGAAGTTTATTTTGGCTCACAAGTTTCAGAGTTTTAGTCCATGATGTGCTGATCCATTGCTCAGCAGGACATCATGACAAAGGGCATGGTGGAGGAGTTGGGCTCACCTCATGGTGGCTGGAAAGTACAACAAGGGAGGGGACGTGGCCACTGGGAAAGATGACCCTTCCAGGACACATCTCCAGTGACCCACCCCCTTCAGACACGCCCACCTTCCTACAATGGCCACCCAACTGGTTCATTCAATTAGGATGGACTGATTAGGTTACAGTTCTAATAAGCTAGTCATCTCACCTCTGAATATTCCTGTATTAACACAGGAGCTTTGGAGGGACACCTCATATGTAGCAGTAGCCACCCCTCAAAACACCAGAATTGGAGATATGTATTATCAATTTAAATGAGATCCTACATAAGGGTATCATTATAAAAAGAGAACATTTGAACAAGGAGACATACCACCAGACACCTGCCATGTGAGAGTGAGAGTCAAGATCAAGTGATGTATCTATAAGCAAAAATATGCCAAAGATGGTCAGCAAACCACCAGGAACTAAGAAAAGAGACATGGGATAGACTCTTTCTCATAGCCTCACCAGGAACTATCCCACCCACATCTTGATCTTAGACTCCAGAACTGCAAAATAAGTTTGTGTTGATTAAGCCCCCCAGTTTGTGGCATTTTGTTGTATTCGCCCCAGAAAACTAATATCGCAAGCTATTATAAGAAAGAGATGCACTTACTGGATATGATGTCATAAGTCTGTTATCCCAGCTACCTGGAAGGCTGAGTCAGGAGGGCCACAAGTTCAAGGCTGGCCTGGATTAAATTAGCTAGACCCTGTCTCCAAATAAAAATTTTAAAAGCATTGTGGGTGTAGCTCAGTGACAGAGCCCTTGTGTAACAAGGCAGGGCCCTGTGTTTGATGCCCAGAACTGGAAAAAAACAAAAACAAAAACAAAGAAATGTAGAGAGATAAGGAAGAAGAAAGAGATGCTCTCAGAAAAGATTCGACTAATGTGCAAATAGGAATGAAAATGAATAAATACAGGGATTGGGGGAATTTTCAGGGAAGGAGAAAGCAACTGCTTTTCAATTCCATTGGTAAAATATACACACAACTGAACAACAATGCTGATTAAAACTCAGCCTTGAGGCAAGGATCAAATCAAGGGTATGGCCAGCACATTCAGTTAAATGTGCTGAATAGGTTAAGGCGACCCAGAGAAATATTGTGATTTACTTAATAAATATTTTAAGTTTATGAAATAGTTTATAGTAAAGAGATTTAGGGTGGGCATCTACATCATCTTAACAGTAGAGCAATAGCTCCAAAAAAGCTCCATAACTCACACCCACAAACCAGACTCCAAGAACAGGCAACAGAACCTTCAACACATGGATAATTTGGTAAAGTACAACAACCAGAAAGAGTAGGGTGGCATTTTATGGTATAAACTTCAAAGGAAGTAATTTTATCAAAGAAGTTAAAATGTTTACAAAATGAACTCCGAAAGAGGAATGGTCTCTTTTTATAGCTGCCCACCCAGCACCTAATTCAAAGCACTTAGACTAATTAATTGGTTAACAAATATTTGCTACTTGCAAGAATAAATTAAAAGGGCCAGGAGCAGTGGCACACACCAGTAATTCCAGCAGCTTGGGAGGCTGAGGCAGGAGGATCTTATAAGTTCAAAGCCAGCCTCAGCAACTTAAAGAGGCCCTAAACAACTTAGTGAGACCCTGTCTCAAAATAAAAAATAGGAAGGGCTGGAGATGTGTCTCAGTGGTTAAGCACCCCAGCTTTAATTCCTGGTGCTACATAAACAAACAAATAAAATGGAAAGCCAGAAGCCAGAAAAATGTTGCTCCTTCCTCTGCTTGCCTTTCCTGGTCCCATTAGGCCGAGGGAGGCGGGAAGCACTTGAG